AAAAAACATTTGTAAAGTGAAAAATACCTTTGTAGGAATACAAATAAGACTCCAACTATCGTTCAAGTTTCTTACATCTAGATTTACTATGCGTTAAGAGTAGATATTTAAGTATTTCCAATTTCATGCACTTTTGTCTAGATTGTACGTCCAATACATCCTTAAGTAGAAATTCGCAATTTCTCAAGTAAGAGTTTTTTCTCCATTTTATTATACTTATAAATCATTCAAACAAGAAAGTTTAACGATTTAACATTATGTAAGTAAATTATATAAGTAAAAACTATATAAGTAAATTTATTTAAATTAATTAAAATTTTACTAATTTTGATTATTTTTATGGAAATGGCACGTGGATCTATTTATAAAAAAATAACAGTCCAGAAAAGAGACTCTAGTGAGATTCTTCACCAAATAAGTGATGGCTTTCACAGACACTTTCACAATAAATGTCTCACCTTACGGTTGCTCCGCCCTCCTTCTCTTTTATTGTTTCGCGGTCGTTCTTGCACGGCATTTCCATAGCACTTCGCGCGCAACACACATGGCGTCGATATCCAACACTTTACACGGCATTCATTTCCGACGTTACGGGACGCGCAGTTTATTAGAGAAAAGATCACCACGGAAAAAGCAATGGAGTTACGAGCGGCAGATCACACGGCGACGTCTCGCGAATTCAGCGCGAGCGAGTTTTAAGATGTCGGAGGTGAAATTCGAAAGTCGCGCTGTCAACTTTGCGCCGCGGCGACGCTGTACCTGTTGCTCCCCGCGTGCACCTTCGTGCACTTTTCGCGCGCTTCAGACAGTGAACAGCGCAAATGCGTTCGTGTTTACGCCGTTCCCGAGCTGTACCGTAGGTGGCCGAGGTTAGACAATCGAGCATAGGGGGTAATTGAAGATACGACTGTCATCCTGCTAATTGTTCGCGTGACGGGCGGATCTCGATCGGCTAAATCGCGCGAGATCTCGCGTTTCGACCAGATATACCGAGCGCAATACTAGCGCTGCGCCGATCGTCAGTAGATTAAGATGCGATTAAACGTTAAGACCTGGTCGATATAACGATAGTATTCACTAATCGAGCGAGTCGCAACGTCCCGCGACTCGAGACAAATCCGTTTCATACTCGCGACATCTCGTTAACGACTGGAGAGTGTACGAAGCGCGCATCGCGACAAGTTCGCTTCCTCGATAGCGCGCGGTACTACGCGAGTCGAGCTAACGAGTTCGCAATGTCGGAAATGCAACACTGTGCAGCAGTACGCGTGCAATCAATTTTATAACGTTCGTTGAATATTGACATTATTCAGATAAACATTTTCCTAAAGAAACTTTCAACTAAACGTAGTACGATAGCGTCGTAAGTTCACGGCGAGATAGAAACACGTTGGTTTGAAATAGAGTTCCATGCTGCGCATGTAATCCGTGTACACGAATTTGAAGAAAGTTTATTCTACATAATTACTGAGAATTGTATGAAATGCTGAAATCTTCAGGTCGATTCCCGGAATATTATAAGTAAATAATCAACCATTGATGGTCTCTAGTTCAACAAAATCAAATTCCTCGACCGTCCAAAGACCGAAATATAGCGCGATACACGCAATGAACGAAGAGACCCCCACGTCCTGCTTTACAATTCGTTATCGGCGAACTGTGTATAGAAATATTAAAGATAGGAAAAGAAAAATATGTACCCTGTACACATCATCTTTTATGTAAGGCTATTCATGGAAAATGAGAGCGCAAATGTATTTTTGGCGTCCTGTATGTGGTAATAAACAAACTTTGAAAATACGATACGTATACGTAACATCGGCCGTTTTATCCAAACAGGAAATAAAATAAAATCTAGATTGAAAAAGAGGGGGAATTGTACGGTAAGGCTTGATTTAATCGTTTTCTAGCAGCACGTGTTATATGTACAGCACGTGATTTAATGTACGTTATGTATCTCTCACTCATTTTATCGCGCGATCTTAAAGTATTGGAACAACACACTAAACTCAAATTGTTCACACGTTTGTGTATTTATTTCAGTCATACGCGAATCTATCGAGTCTATTGACACGCATAAGATAATTGTGCATTTATCATACTGTCCGGATTCCTGTTATCAACTCGTGGTTAAATAATATTACTGATAATACGTAACGTTATCTGAAGCAATGTCTATCTGTGATATTAACTGGCACCGACGTGGAATGGACCTCGCTGAACGTTGCAGTGTACTTTCCTTATTTAACCGGGTTCTCGGATTCCAATTAGTAAATACAATTATGACAAAGATTTTTATGTTTGACGAATGTATCAAATATTGGATGCTATTAAATCAATACGAACTGTTATTGGAGCATGAAAGAATGGTTTTTAGTTTCCGACGTAAGAAAATGTTGGAGTGACAAAACGTTATCAGGAAATATTTTCTTTCGCTTTAAATATGATAATCTCACGGTAGCGGATTAAGAAAAATACTTCCACCAGCTTTTAAATTCCCGACCAGTAAGCGAAACAACTTCATTCTTCCTATATATATCGTTATATTTCGCTTAATTGCATTACACAAGGTGCAGCGAAACAAACAGATTTGTAATCTAATCTCTGGGCTGATCTTCGGACTCAATAAGAAGACTCGTTATGCGAAAACGAACATTGCCGGCATTCCAAAATAAAATTAACTGTGACGACATAATTATGATTAATTGCGCTTCCTCGATACACAACGCAACACGGAGACTGCCATTAGCGATTAGTTTCGCGATTGCAATGCGACACAATGGAATTTTTCGACGAGAGAAAGACGTAGTAATAAATATATCGTTGTACTCTTTTGTTCGTTTAACGAACCTCGGCTGGCAAAGAGATCTAATCGTCGCGTAATCAATGAAGAGATATTGATACGCTGCTTAACGATTCGATACCGACGAACCGTGACTATAAATACGTCCACATCTTTCTCAAGTCCGTAATTTGTTCGTGCCGTTTAGTTCAACGGAAAGTCGGACGGAGGTCTTACCGACGTAAATCATCCTGCAACGAGTTTTGCGTAAACGGAATACATTTGTGTTAGGCCTTGGGAACGTAGGTTCATATAAGTAGTTGCAGATAATACGAAATATACAATTCTAAGTACAGGTACTAAACGAGTGACGTGTCGAAAGAATTTATTGTATATTTCGTTCGGACGATTCTGTTCGTTACACGTGTGTCGCGAAAATTTGCAAAAAAGAAAAACATTCGGTAATCGGCAACGTCCTCTCATAATAAAACTGGCCGGTGATAACGACTGGCGACGAATTCGTTAGCTTTATGAATTGTGACTGAAGTGGAGGTAACTTAACAAAAGTTTTCTCCCTCACGCAGAAAAATGAACCTGGTAACGTTCGGGCTCATCTTGATCTGCTGCAACGCATGGGCAGCGAAGATAAAACGTAAGCAGATATCTATACTTTCTATCAGCGTATTTTCGAACAATCGCGTTATTATTAAATGCATTATCCTAGTTCAATTTATTATTTAATAGTATTAATTTTCACTTTATGGATCTATTGAACTCACGTATTTCTTACCATTGCGAAATATGTTTTCTCTTAAAAAGTAATAATTTCAATACAACGCAAACTTACATTTGTTTGACGTTAGTTTGCAAACGGCATCGCACAAATTTTGACTTTCAGCTAAAGACTTAGCATATGCGGATATCAAGCTAGATGAGTTTCTCAAGAAGTTAAGAACTATATTAAAGACCGGAGACGAGGCACTCGGAATTCCGGTTCTCGATCCATACCACGGGGACCTCCCACAGCTCAAGCTAACCGAGGGCACAATAACGTACGTGCCATTACAATTTAAAAGAAATGATACTCGCAACATGAAAAGAAGTACGCAGCCAAGTACCGCAACGGCTTCGCAGCCTGCTATCTTTTCTTCATCCATTTGTTTTGTAAATTCATTTCATATATTGTAAATCCGCGACTCTCGTTTACTTTCTTTTTAGTAAAATTACAAGCGTTCTTTAATATTTTAATATTTTTTCTAGTAGCTTCAGCTGTTAAAACATGTCACTTGAACAAATAGAATAACGGTTGTGTACGTGTGGTTTATCGCAGGATTAAATGACTTATAAATTTAATTTATGTTTCGCATTTTCAGATTGGATGCGAACTTGACGAATATGAATGCATACGGTTTGTCCGCGTTTGAGATTATCAACGGTGTCGCCACGTTATTCCCGCCTACTTTAAGTCTTCATCTTTCTTGGCCATTGGTATCCCTAGATACCGATTATTCTTTGAATGCTAAATTCGACACCTTTAATATTTACGGCAAGGGTACAGTAAGGTGAGTATTTGTTCCTTAATGATTCTGAATCGAAACAAATATAATTAAATTTTTAAGATTTTCACAGGTTTCTTGTGAGACGTTTTCAACTTTTCCTAAATGTTTCTACTTAATAATGCCGTGTCTATCTTTATAAGCATTTTAAAATACACATTTAGCTGGTAAGATGTTAAAGCTAATGATATATTACGCGTTCACATTTCAGAATGTCCGCGAGAGGTTTCGGTTTTGATACGAACTTAAATATGACATTGGAAGGCGGGATATTCGACGGACACGTGCAAATAGAGGACATGATATTGAAACTTTCTTTATCATCGCTAGATGTAAGTAACCTGATTTAAAAAATCTCGTCTTTCCTTTGCGTTCTTTTGTTCTGATGTTTTTACAATTTTACAATTTTTACAAGAAAACTGTTACGTTTATTAAGTGTGTAATTTCGACTTTACATCTCAGATTCTCAAAAACTTTCAAAGAGAAAAAGGATAGATGTAATTGAGAAAACCTAAATACTCTGTTTTACGAAGAGTTAACGTAAAATTATTTAAAATATATTAATAATTGGTTGAATATATTAATAACTTATATGATACTGAAACGTTTTCCTTTCGTTCTACAAATTTCTTCTGTTCTATTCTGAGAAATTTATCGTAATAATAATTTAAACGTATTTAGCTGGATTTAAGGCAGACTTTTGTGAAAGAATTGTATCGTTTTATGTAATAGTAGAAAAATTATTTCTTTTACCGGGCGTTAAATAAGATCTATGGAAATTGAGCTTTTACGTGAAACAATTAGCTGGAAATCACTACTCAAAACATCATTTTTTAATTTCAAGCAATTTTTTCGTACATTATTGTTTTCGACATAAATTTCAATTCATTAGTTATTTATTGTTACTGTTTTGATGTTTAAAAATTTATTCCCTAATGTCAAGTTTAATCCACGCGTCTCTTTTTCTGTTCTTCCAATTGCTATTTCGTTCTATTATTTGCAGTTGAAAGTGACAGGTCTTTTTAACGACGATAACTTGTCCGCAATACTGAGTGCTGTGATTTCCGATATGGCACCTGAGATGGTCACAGATGATACGTTGGTACAGGAGATCATTAATTTTGGGAAAAAGAATCTTAACGCTTTCTTATGCACTAAGACAGTTTCTGAATTACTGAAATTGCTAAATCCATAGTCGAGCACTGAAGCTTTTCGCCATATTAACGTCGTTATTATCTAATCGGTCGTTTGTACGGTTACGATCAAACCGACGAAACGATATAGATTGACTAAAAATATAAATAGGCTATTAAAGGTTAGGGCGAAATAAATATGTTCCGGCGAGAACATACTTATGTCATTAATCTATCAAAATGAGCGCGAGTTTTACTAAACAAATTAGTTAAAATTCGTTCTCCGAAACGACCTTTTATCTATCTGGAATGCTTTAATGTTGGTGTATTAAGATATTAAATATTTCATATGTACAATATACATATTTCTGCGACAAATAGTATATTGATTTATCCTGATCTGTTCTAGCTTATTTATTTTAAAGAAATGAGTAAAGCAGACTGTTGTACAGCAGAATGTTGTATCTTTTTAACATTTATGTATATATACATTTATATATATTTTACGTATATTTTAGGCTACTTTGTAATACGTCTGTTAATTCGAATTTAAATAAAATACAAACTTACACTTGCACACTGAAAATTAATATTTAAGCTATTCCAGAGTATAACCGCTGCTATCGTTGTATTTTCTATTTTATTTCTCAATTAATTTTTAATAGAATTTCCGAGTGAGAAAAAGAGAAGCGGGAGGAATCTCTCTTTTAAGTAGAAATTCGGAATTTCTCAAGTAAGAGTTTTTTATCCATTTTATTATACATATAAATCATTCAAACAAGAAAGTTTAACGATTTAACATTATGTAAGTAAAAGTTATATAAGTAAAAAGTATATAAGTAAATTTATTTAAATTGATTAAAATTTTACTAATTTTGATTATTTTAAGGGAAATGGCACGTGGATCTATTTAAAAAAAAATAACAGTCCAGAAAAGAGACTCTAGTGAGATTCTTCACCAAATAAGTGATGGCTTTCACAGACACTTTAACAATAAATGTCTCACCTTACGGTTGCTCCGCCCTCGTCCTTCTCTTTTATTGTTTCGCGGTCGTTCTTGCACGGCACTTCTATAGCACTTCGCGCGCAATACACGTGAACATGGCGTCGATATCCAACACTTTCACGGCATTCATTCCCGACGTCACGCGACGCGCTGTTTATTAGAGAAAAGATTAACGCGGAAAAAGCAATGGAGTTACGATCGGCAGATCACACGGCGACGTCTCGCGAATTCAGCGCGAGCGAGTTTTAAGATGACGGAGGTGGAATTCGAAAGTCGCGCTGTCAACTTTGCGCCGCGGCGACGCTGTACCTGTTGATCCCCGCGTGCACCTTCGTGCACTTTTCGCGCGCCTCGGACAGCGAACATCGCAAATGCGTTCGCGTTTTACGCCGATCCCGAGTTGTAACGTAGGTGACCGAAGTTAGACAATCGAGCATAGGGTGTAATTTAAAATACGACTGTCATCCTGCTAATCGTTCGCGTGACGGGCGGATCTCGATCGGCTAAATCGCGCGAGATCTCGCGTTTCGACCAGATATACCGAGCGCAAAACTAGCGCTGCGCCGATCGTCAGTAGATTAAGACACGATTAAACGTGAAGATCTGGTCGATATAACGATCGTATTCACTAATCAAACGAGTCGCAACGTCCGCGCGACTCGAGACGAATTCGTTTCATACTCGCGACATCTCGTTAACGACTGGAGAGTACGAAACGCACGTCGCGTCAACTTCGGCTTCCTCGATAACGCGCGATACTACGCGAGTCGAGTTAACGAGTTCACAGTGTTGGAAATGCAACACTTTGCAGCAGTACGCGCAATTGATTTTGTACATTCGTTGAATATCGACATTATTCAGATAAATATTTTCCGAAAGAAACTTTCAACTAAACATAGGACGATAGCGTCGAAAATTTACCGCGAGAAAACACGTTGGTTTGAAATAGACCTCCATAGTACACGTGTAATCCGTGTACACGAATTTGAAGAAAGTTTATGTATATAATCAGAGTCTTTTATGAAATTCTTAAATCTTCAGAGCGGTTTCCGAAAAATTATAAGTAAGCTCGATTCGATCTTTGCCTGGTCGAGGAACTTGATTTCGTTGAACTAGAGACCTTCAAAAGTTGATGACTTTCTTTCCTTTTTTTTTACCTCCACTTTTATATCTTTCTTTTTAGATGAACCACCTAATCGCCGACTGGATTTTCAGAAAGTATAGTTCTTTGTATTCTTAAATACCAGTTGCTGTTAAAAAATGCCGACTATGACCCGACTATGACCCGAGACAAGAATTTGAAATAGAAATCGGGAGAGGACTTAATAGGTAAAGCTATATTTTCGTAGAAGAATCGATCGTCTTTATATTATTTACATTTATTATCTTTGTACTGTCCGTTTTTTTAATTTACCGCTAAGTTATTTATTTTAAAACATTGAGTTGCCCCGTTTTAGAAGTATTTATTTCGAGAGATATTGTTGATAAAAGTCGCGTATATTAGCGTATTTTTTAACAATCGCATTAATGTATTACCTCAGTCGAATTTACTATTTAATATTATTATTAATTTCACCAACTTTACGGATCTTTTGTGCTCACGTATTTCTTAACCATTGCGAGGTAGTTTTCCGTCTAACAATAATATTTCACTAGGAACACAACGTTCGGGCCACTTGTATTTATTTGGCATTGCTTTGTACGCTGCGTCGCGAAAATTTTGACTTTCAGTTAACAGCACAATTTGGGAGGACAGGATAGAAAGTGTTCTCGTGGACTTTAAAAATATATTAAAAACTGGAAGCAGGTTTCTCGGAAATCTGGTAAAATGTTTAGTAAAATTTCGAGAAACTCTCACAAAGTTCTCGAAAGTGCCACGTTGTCCCACGATTACTCCATTTTCAGGGTAAATTTTAAAAGAAAATTCCCGCCCGAGTATAGACAGACTACGAAAGATTCGGACGAAATGGATACGCCCCAGCGAGAACGTATGCCATTAGCAAATCAAAATAAGCGAGAGCTTTACTGATTGTGAGCGAATAATAAAAATCCGTTATCCGAAACGTTTTTATCTATGTGTGCTTTAATGTAGGCACATTAAGTGCCCGCGCGTACACACAGCTGTGGCAAAATTAAATATTAATTTCTCCTGATCCGTTCTGGCCCATTTATTTTCAAGAAATGAGTAAAGGAGACCGTGGTAGAGCAGATTATTGTATCATCGTGACATTAGTTTGTCTTCCGCATACATGTGTATATTTCGTGCAATTGTTACGCATCTGTTATTTCGATTTAAATAAAAGACAAGTGGACACTCACCAGTGATGTGGCGGAGGTTGCACTTGGACCTGCAAAACAGAAATGTCATAATGAAATCCACATTGTACCTTTGGGAAAATATACCTTAGAAAACTTAAAAAGTTTACTTTAGAAAAATGAGAAATACGAAAAATAAATCTGGACACTTGAAACATTTATTTAAACTTAAAACTTACTTGAAAAATTTAAAAGAAAACTGAAAGAAAATGATATGAAAAGTATGTGATATCATTTAGAATAACGCGTGCGGATTTCTTCCTACGAGAAAATGCTACTGTGCGGTCTGCAATTTATCCTGGTATTATTTTGTGCATAAAAGCCAATAAACAGATTTGCACGCGTAAAAACTACATTCGAATGTGTCGGTAAAAAAGATGCTCTAAAATTTCTTCAGTAAACTTTCAACATGTTTGAGTAAACAATGAACATCTCAGCTATTCCGGCGAATAGCTGAGTGGTTGAATTTTCTACTTTATTTCCAGATAGAATTTTAATAAAATTTTCCAGGGAGGAAGAGAGAAAGAGGGAGTCTCCCTTCTAAGTAAAAATTGAGAATGCCTCAAGAAATCTTTCTATTTTATTATATAAATTGACGAACGCTCGCGCGATTCGTTCCAACGGAAAATGAAGTAAACGCCAGGATAACGCACACCTAAATAATTGTACTCACCAGAGGGTTGCTCCGCCGTTGCCCGATGCCTCCCAGGCTGCCGCTTCCTCTCAGATTCCTCTGTTCCGCACTGGCACTCGACACAACGCGGCACTCGCGAAAGAGGATCCGCTTTCTTATCCAAGTAACGCGCACTACACGAAACACCCCCGGCGTCAGCCGACGCGAGCCCCGTTACAACGAGAGCGAGGAAAAGCGGCGCGATCGCGCGCGGAAGGACGAGCCGCCAAGATGGCGTCGCGCGAAACGGCGGGAACGTTCCGCGGCGCGAGGGACTCGAGAGACACGCGAGGCGTCTCGCACTCAACGGGACGACGCTCCTTCTCGCCGCGCGTCACGAAGCGAGCGCTCGGGCATTGCTACACGCGCGAAGAGACGCGAGTTAAAGTCCGAGCGCACCCGCGGCGCCGAAGCCTCCTGCCGGCGTACGTTTCTCGCGAGATCTGCGCGTCCCGGTGGGTCGCCGGCGCGCGAGCACCGGAATAATCTGCATGCGCCGCGCGACCGCGCTCGACTTGATCGGCGTTAAACTCACCCCGCCGGCGTGTGAAGCGTCGCGACGACGTCCGTCGGCGCGGGAGACCGGTCCGCTCTGCGTGTCCGCGTCGCTCCGCGATGCTTCTCGAACTGTGGCCAACATGGCGTCGGTACCCGGCTTGCCCCGCGCGGTACTGCGCGAGTCGAGCCGGCGACGCGAGCTTGAATGTCGCTTTGACGTCGCTCGCGCAGCGTATCTCAAGTAAATGCGCGCTTAAATTCGCACGTACGTTAATGAACAAACTCGCGGCGTTCCTCTACTCGAGTTAGGCCGGCGGCAGAGAACGATCCGTATACTCTTAAGCCTCCGCTACAATGATTCTTCTGTCTACAATGGTCGTAGTCGTAAGAATAATCGACTGCGATTGGTCAATTCAGTCAGTCGCATAAGAATTGACTAATCGCAGTCGATTATTCTTACGACTACGACCATTGTAGACAGAACCGAGAATCATTGTAGCGGAGGCTTTAGAAAGAGGCCGAGCACGAAGTAAATTCAGATTAAAGTTAAGCAACGTTCGGCGCGAAACCGGACCTAAAGCCCGTGTCACACTACGTATTGTGGATCACGGATCGGATTGAAATTGCGGATCGCGGAGCGCAATTCAACCAATCGGATACGAGGCTGTCTCGTCTGATTGGCTGAAATGCGATCCGCGACCCTCAATCTCAATCCGATTCGCGATCTGCAATGCGTAGTGTGACACGGGCTTTAAGCGTTCACGGATCGCTCTCTGCCATCAGCCTGACGCTCGTATCACTAGCCGAGAAGCTCGCGATCGCACGGCCGTGGCGTCGATCATAATTCCGCGGAGAATGAACGCGCACGTCGTCCCGAGGCGTACGTGCCGGCGGCTCGAACGATAGTGCGGCGTACGGGACATTATTTGCGCACAGCGGCCGCGGCGGCTCGAGACAAACAAGCGGCGACCGCCGCGGCGGCTCGAGACGAAAACAGGTGACGATCGCGGCAAGGTCGGCGGGGAACGTCGTATTTACATTCCAATCCAACTGCCGCACGAGCGGTACGAGACAAATAAGTACGCGCGATCGTGTGTTCGACGTCGTCGTCGTACGAGGAAGGAAGTCTTTCTCGGAGCGCGTGCATACTTGATTCGAGATATGGGGGTCAATTCTGTATCTGGCACTACAGTGAAAATGTTAAGAGTGAATAGCATTGTCTCTTTCTAACCGTCCTCTCGGAAAGATCGGAGAGAGACAAACAGAAAGAGATTGACAAATTGACGTCGATCGACGGGACATTTCTCGCCGCTCGCTTTAAAGCCTGTCACACAATGCCAGGCAACCGGCGATAGGAATAGGGAATAGAAATTTTGACGCGTTGGATTCGTCGGAAATTTTCTTCCAGCCGATCCAACGCGTCCGAAATTCTATTCCCTGTTGCCTGGGCATTGTGTTTGGGCCTTTAAGCCTTGTGTCCACGGACCAAGAACTGTGTCCGAGATTCTAGCTCCAAGAAACGCGTAGCCAATCAACTAGCTTTTCTATAAAAGATACAGGTTGATTGGTTGCACATTTCCTGGAGCTAGAGCCTGGCCACAGTTTCTTGAATCGTGGACACGCGGCTTTAAGATTTCTCTCTGGTATTTTCGCTAATCGCGCGGCCCGCGAGACGGATCCGTTTTACGCCCGCGGCATCTCGCGAACGACCGAGAAGCACGGAAGGAGCGGCGCCCGAGCGGCCGTTACCGACGGAGCGCGAGCGATTGGGCGGGCATTATTAGTCAGCGGCGTGTATATCGGTGTGTAAGTACGCGGCCCACACGTACGCGCGGTGCACGGATGACAAATCCGTCGCGGTTTCGCGCGATCTGCCCGGGGGTTATCGTTATCGCCACGTATCCGCGCATCGGCTCGTCCTGCCAGCAATCATGATCCTGCTCGAGATACACAACAGGATACTCGAGGAAACGCTGACGAACAAGGTCAAGAATGCCCAGTCGGGGTAAGCGTCTTCCTCCTCCCCTCCCCCCCGCTTCCGGGGATCCCGGTGCCCGTCGTCGTTGGTCGCGTAAACCTAACCTCGCTCCCCGGGAGACGTGGCGGCGCCGGGGCGGTGCCGCGCCTACCGTTTCCCCGCGGGGCAAGTTCTCGCCTCCAGTGATTTCTCGCGTCTGGACTCTCGGTCCTTTCGATTCCTCTCCTCTCCGCATCTTTCTCTCTCTCTCT